ACCGTCGGCCACCGGAGCACGGGCTGACGGGCTCACGAAGGGGGGGGAGCTACCGCCTTTACTGGGGATGGTCTTCGGCGTGCACAGTGTGCACAGTGTGCACTGGCCGTCATGGTTTTTGCATGTTTTTGTCGTGTTCTTCGGGAAAGATGCGAGAATTGGACGCCCTTTCTCAAACTCCTTCCTTGTCAGATGTCGAAGGAACTTCATACAATGAAGGCGGCTTCACTTCTTGTGTGCTTGTGCTAACACGCAATGGAGCTTGCAGAGGTTCCACGTATTTCTTTCAGCTTGGCACATTTTTAGCCCTTGATTTCCTCTGGGCTCTCCTTAGGTGCATCCTTTTCCCACTCCTTGCGATGCTCCTGGACGACGCTGGTCAAACGGAGGGCACAACGAAGCGTCAGAATGTGAGAGTTCAGGATGCTCCAGAGGGATCTCAACCACCTTGACACTTACGGTCGTGACATGTTGGATGCTCCCTCACTGACAGAGGGACTTCACAACAACGATTGACCGACCGACTTCGTGTATCGGGGCCGGCTTTACTTGTGTCTTGACTCTCGGTCCTTTCCCGGACATGTGCGTTCCCGGAAGACCTCAGGATTTGTCCGAGAGTCCCCGTTTGGCACGCTTCTTCACCCGGAAGACCTCAGTGCCTCCGGAACTTCTTCGCTTGGAGGACGCAGACGATCGAGAGAGAGAGAGAGAGAGACAGAGAGTGAGTGAGTGAGTGAGTGAGCGAAAGACCAGGTTGAAAAGGGTCATTGGACTTTCAGGGTATTTTATATATAGCACATGTATGTGCCATACATTGACCCCCCAAACCGGGATCACGTGGATCGCCACAAGGATGACGATGTGCAAGAAGAGAAGAGACGAGTGGCAGAGGTCGATCCGCGAAAGCAGGCAGAGATGTTGACACAACACGACTGATATGGGACTGGCAGGACTTGACCGGGCCCAAACCTGTTCAACCAACCACCCCAAGTTTTTTGTATATTAATATGTGCAAAATGCTGGTCCCATGGAGTGTGTTTTTTCCTTCCCGCTTGTGTGTTAGGCTCGGAAGAACTGAGCAAACTCGGGCCACCAATCAGAGTGTCGTTTTTGACAGTGCAGGTGATGTATGTGAAGGGTTTGCGAAAGGCCTACGGCAGCATGCTCAGTTCCAAGGCGCATGCCATGCGGGGTCGTTTGGAACGCACCACCTGCAGGTCTCTTTATTCTCAAACGCACGGCAATGATTCCATGTTTCAGGGTTGAGACTGCGGAGACATACAAAACTGGGTTCACCATTTTTTCACAGTAGCCCTTTGAATCTCCGTTCGCCTCGTAGCGCTTTCGCGTCACGTTAACAGTGTTGCGATGCGCTGTCCGTTCGTGGGTCGACATGAGCTCGTTCGTGGCTGGTTCGTGGGCAAGACCAAGGAAAGAGACGCAGTGAACTGCGAGAAGAGAAAAGTAATTTGAATGAATCCAAGTGGCAGTATGATTCATAAGTCTATGCCTCATCACGCTTGATAAAGAAGGACATCCTATGGTCCTATAGCCAAAGTCTTTGCCTTCCTGGATTCCTCTCCTCTAGGCTTGTTCGGTCTCCTTCGCTGCTTCTAGTGCAGCTCCTGCCTGTGGAGCAGGATGGCGTTGCACCCAACTGCAACGATGTTCCTCACAGCCCTCTCTAGACGAGCCCCTCCCAAGCCGTCACCTCTCACCTCGCACCAGCGTAGAGATCGGGTGGTCCGATGAGAAGAAGGAACGCCGTGATCGGGTGGGTTCGCCTGGACACCGTGTGGACGAAGAACATCGAACGGTGTCCACAACGGGTGTCCCCAAAAACCGACGAACACCACATGTGGACGTCGCAGACAGAATGAGGCATGGTCCGGTTCGGCCGGCGATGGTCGACGGTAGACGGAGTGTTCGGTAGACGGTAGCGTGATGAGAGAGTGAAGTAGATGTCCGTACGCTGAGTGAAACATACGATCATTCGTTTGCTGAGCATGTCAAGGCAGTGTAAGGTTTGTGGTGGGTGCACGAGGTGAAGGGGGATTTTGGCGAGAGAACTTCACCTTTTGGTCGAAGAGTCAGGGCTTGAAGCCGGCAGGTGACACATGCAGTTCGAGGAGTCACTTGGGCAGCTGATCAGGCCCAATTGATTCATATTGATTCTTCAGGCTCCGTTCGTAGCCTTTTTGTTCCTATAGTAATACGGCCAGGAGCCACGTTCGTAGCGTCCTTGTTTCACGCAGAACATGTGAGTCAGGATGAAGACAGAAACTCGTCGACGGCCCGAGAGTTTGCGCATGCTCGATGCAGGGTATGGTCTTTGGTCTCCTGGGTGTGAATGGCGCGGGCAAGACGACCTCTTTCAAACTCATGTCAGGCTGGAAGGCCGTGTCGAATGCACTGAAGGCAGTGCTGTTTGGTGCTGCGATCCATCGCCGGATCCGACGGTCCAGGTCCAGGTCTCTGTCCGCAAACTCCCGTTCCTCCGCATCAGGTATCTACACTCCATCTGAGGGAGAAGTTCGAATCCTCGGTGTCTTGGCCGAACGACGAGTCAACGAGTCGACCTCATTTTGGAGTCGGGCTCTCCATGGCAGGGGGCCCGACCTCTTGGCAGGGGTCCGGGCCCGGTTCCCAAACCCTATCTGTTGGAGGGCTCGGATTCTTAGGGTTGGATGTATTTTTTGGGTATAATACGATCAACTGATGAACAAAAGGAGGTGAGAACGGACCATACAGGAGAAATAAGTGGGAGAATATTGAATAAGACCATGCCCTGTATACAAGACAATGTCCTCTTATGAAGAATTGTAGGACAGATGACTAGGACAGATAAGAGGGCCCCCTTTTGGTTCCACTGTCCTCCCCCCGGTCCACCCTCCGAGGTATCGATATGGTGGAAGAAACGAGCCGCGCACGGCGCCTCATCGGCTGCTGGGCGTGAAAACGGTTTCTACTAGCTTCTTAAATAAAATTAAATTAACTAATAGCTTCTTGTTACTAGTAGTAAGGCACTTGTTACGAACGAAGCGATGCACTTGTTCCTAGTAGCTTCTTGGTACTACAGAAACCGAGCTCGATGGCCTCCAACCTCGCGTCCGATCGCTTCCGTTCGTAGCGAGGCCGCACCGTTCGTGAGCGAACCTTGCTCCTCAGTACGGCCAGGAGCCCCAAACGTAGCTCCTTGTTGCTAGTAGCGATGGCCTCCAACCTAGTACGATTCCCATGCCACCTCCACAAAGACCCCTGAAATGCCTGTCCCACTTGTGAGTGCTTGCATTCTGCGGGTCTTGGGGCCGCACAGGCTACTGCCCGCAGTTTGACGCTCTCATCCATGTAATGACGGTGGAATCACATTTGTATCTCTATGGCCGAATGAAAGGCAGGCAGTTGTGGAGGAATTGCTCCGTTCGTTGGGTGAGAAGAGTTTACAGTTTGCGCAAGTCTCCGCACTTGCGTCACATGCCCTAGTAGCGTTAGTAGCGATGCCCTTTGCTCCTAGTAGCGTCCTTGCTCCTACCTGAAACACTTTGTGCAGTCCTGTTCGTCCACCATTGGTCCGGTTTGAACCACCACGCTGGCGCTGGCGGCTTTCGACAGCCAGGCCTGGTTGGCCGCGACTTGCAGACAGCTGTCGCTGGGACAGGGAGTTGAGGATGACAGTGGCGCTGACCGATAGGAATAGAACGAGTTTCCGTACTTGACCCGACAGTGCACTCCGTGCACACTTTTTCCTCAGCTAAGGTGGATGACAAAATCAATGAGATGCAGTTATCAATGTATCGCTATCGCAGGGCGGGCACTCTGTCTGGAGGCGCTGTGAACGGTCAGGACTTCGTCCTCCACCTGCCCGCATGGGGGTGTTGTTTCGGGTCTTCGGGAAGAAACACAATGCGAGTCCGGTGAAAGGATGCTCTACCACATTGGGATTTTTCGAAAAGTCGAGACATCTTCTTCAGCAATACATGGGGAGAGGTCGGTCCACCAGACGTAAGCCACGTGTGCAGGGAACAAGCGGAAGCTCTCGGTGGCCATGGCATTGATTGGAGAACCTCCAGTGATCTTTCTGGACGAGCCGAGCACAGGCAGAGACCGGACATTTCGCGCAGGCAGAAACCATGTTTTAGGCGAATTCGATTGGACAAGGCTGAATTGTAAACAAACACACAGGACTAAATAGCAATGTGTGGACCATGGGCCCTACCCAAATCTCTCTATGGTAGTTTTTCGGGCAAGAGAACATGCAGTATTTTAAAAGTGAGCTCGCATACCTGGACCATCCTATTTGGGTGTCCTGTCTGAAGATCCCTTAAGTACAGCCAGGACACCCAGACAGGATGGTCCTGCTTTACCACACCCTAGGGCTCCAACATCCTCACAAGGTGGAGGTAAATTTCAACTTCCCTTGCTTGGCAAAAACCAGGCACGATTTGGGGACGTCCTCTTGGCCGGATCAATCGGTCGGTCTTGGGGTCTTGCCAGGCATGGATCCATTTGCCAGGCGCTTCATGTGGTCTGTGATCCAGGACGGCTGGTGTTCAACCAGATCAAACGTTCTTGTTATGGTGAAGGCTTTGGGCTTCCGTATGTTTCAACTTGCAAGTGGCTTCCGTGACCGCACATGTACCGCTCCACGCGTGTATTACTGGGCAGGATGTTGCAGAGAAGCGCAAACAGTCGGTGGTCGTGTTGACCACGCACTCCATGGAAGAAGCCGAGGCCACAGATGCAGACGGATTCCTCAAGATTCTTCGAGTCTTTCACTGAAACCTTGTGCTATACATCCCACCCAAAAAGAAAGGAGCATAAAACACCGAGAGTCACTGCATGACGAGTGAGACGCGGGGTCCACCTTTCGTTCGAAACCACCGCTGTTCACCCCCGCGGTTCAGCGCGGTGTTGTGACCGCGCGCGTGTGCCCATCCAGGCACTGTGCAGCAGCATCGCTATCCAGGTGGATGGACAGTTCCGATGCCGGGCAGACGACAGACGGGGTTTGACGTCGGACGATGTCGCCAGATGACCGGACTAAGGCCTTGGCTCTGCACAGCACTTGAAGTCCAAGTATGGCAAAGGCACGACTGGGTGAGAGATGGTTTACATGCGAAGAAGACTGGAAGCGATAGATTGAGATCCGCGCCTCCCAAAACTTGGAGTGCGATCCCATTCCGAGCCTCCGACCCTTCTGCCGCGGCACCGGCTCTTTCCCTGCCAGCTCGACCCGCCCCTCCGCCCCGGTCAGCTCCAGGATATGAGGTGAGCGCCAAGTTCCGGGCGATCGACCGAGATGCCTTGTCACAACGAGCCATGCAAATGCTTCCTTCAGGCGCGCGAACACTCCGGAGACCGGTCGGTCCGTCCGGTCTCCGGTGCCGGAGTTTGGAGGCGAACCCCAAGGTCTGAAGCGAAGGTCCGATGTTGCTGGAATTGACGAACCGAATGCCAGTTGCGACATGTGCTTTCCATTTGCAAACCGAATGCCAGTTGAAGATGTCTTCGTGTTGGTTTACAGTTTACAGTTTGCTTGAAGAGAGACCGGTCGATTGAATCACCAAGCTGGAAAGCACAGGTTGGGAACTCGACCGGAGTGGTTACACCATGATGTCCAAGAACCAGGCGCATCCGCGGAACCGCGGATCGGTCGACGTTGTCGTTGTGTCGTCCTGCTGGCGTTGAAAGTGGAGCCACCGATCGTTTCTCATTGAACCTCGGTGTAGACTTTACAAAAAGATCGGTTTGGGCTTCAAGATGGTGGAGACGCTTGGTCCTCCAATTTTGAGCCTTGAAAGCCAGCCAAGCCCAGCACGGCCATGAGGCGATCAATGTTCTGGATGAGAAGCTGGTGACTGCAGCTACACTGCCTTCGGGACCAATACCAGAAGGGCAGCAGGACAGCTGCGGAGTGTTTCGATCACTCAGGTCACCATCGCGTGAGGTTTCACTGAATGGCTGTGCGTGCGGTGCTGGAGTGAGTGAACGTGAGGAAGTGGCCGTGGAGGTTCTGGCTGAGTGGGTGATCACACAACAGCACGTGGAAGATCTGAAAGGCTCGTTTCGTCGTCTTCCGACCAGACCTGGAGATCCCGTTACGTGGGGTGCATAGTAGGACACCATCATGGGATGGTCCAGGATATGATGTTCATGGTATAAATACAAATAGTATAATAGTAACGGAGGTCGTTCCAATAACAACTTCATCATAATTATCTGAAATTCCAAGTTTACCTCTTGAATGAACTCATGAAATGATGAACATCAACTCTTTCCAGACGCCGACGGGACTTCCAGTCTCATCGTGGGGTTCAAACCCTTTCGCCGGCAGACTTCTTCTCGGAGCCGGGTGGCTTGGGAGACTTGAACCTGGGAGAGGCCGGTGGCGTGTTACGGCGTGTTCTTGTGGCCGAGCGTTCCGAAAGGGAAGTTGGGATGGAGCTGGATGTCCAGAGCTGGATGCCCATGTAGAACGCCTACATGTTTGTACATGCTGTCGTTCGATGAAAGAAAACGCCAAAAAAGCGACGTTGATGCTATCCCATTGGTTTCTTGTCCGCGTGAGACACACATGCAACATGGATTCCGGCACCGACACCGATTCCGGCAGGTGCTGGTCCTTGAGAACCATGGCTCTTCGTTGCGACTGCGACTCCCTTTGGCCGGAGAAGCACAGCTGCCGCAGCTCTTCGCCATGCTGAGCAAGGACGATGCTGCGGCATGCTTTGTGGAGGGGCCATTTGGAGACCATGAATCGACCAAAACGTGTTTTAAGCCGTTCCAGATTTGAGATAAAATTGAACATGTTGATGTTTTTCTTCAGAGTCGAGAGTTCCGTAAAACCTGCGCCAGGAGAAAGCACGATTTGGACTCAGTGACTTTGCCGTATGCACCTTGGACCGTGAGAACCGGTGCGGGCTGCCTGACCGGTCCCCGTCGGCCTTGCCTCACGAGCTGTTCGGACGCCCAGTCCTCGCCGCAGCACCCGAACGAGCTACTAAGGCCAATCCTCGTTGGAGCAAGTCTTCAATGGTTTTGCTGCTGAAGCCGGTGGTCACCAGTGAGATGTTTGCCGAATTTTTGTGAATTGTGAAGGAGAAGGTGGTTTGTGATTGAGGGTCTTTGGCACCGGTGCGCCTGTAACTCGGCGCAGGCCTGTATATACGTGTGAGCCCAAAGTTGGCAACATGCCGATGTTTCGGCACATTTCGCAAGGGAGGTATACTCTATTTTCGTGCTATACTTACCCTGCGAGTCAAAGACTATTACATGGTAACTTCCTTTACTCCAGTCTGTCAAAATATAGTCTTTGGACTTCATAGGGCTTAATTCACCGGCGTGATGCCAAAGAAGAAACGTGGACTGCGATGAGCCAAAAGGAAAGAGGACAGTTTGCAAGTCGACTTGCGAATAGTTCATTTGGGGCTCCGCTTTGCACGTGACCAGGGGCAAGTGCCATTTGCGTGCTCTACGCCATTTAAGGCCACCGCACCAAGAGTTCTACAGCATCCCGTTGATGGATTGGTTGGCCGACAAGTACAAGGCGTTTCGTCTCGAGGTTGACACACCCAGACGACCTGTTTGCTGCCACCATCTCTTAATATACACATGCATTGGGGTAGTCCCTCGGAGTGTCTGGGAATATGGTGCAAAGCGATGCTTCGAATTGCTGGGAGCGGTACTCATATTCCAACTACGGACAGCCTAGATGGCTCAAACCATCCACCGACAGTCCAAAAAAAACGGCGAGATCTTTCCAAAAGCTGTTGCACTAGGAGCAAGGACGCTACTGGGGGCTCCTGGCCTTACTACTAGGAGCAAGGACGCTACTGGGGGCTCCTGGCCTTACTACTAGGAGCAAGGACGCTACTAGGGGCTCCTGGACGCTACTAGGGGCTCCTGGTCTTACTACTATTAACAAGAAGCTATTAGGAACAAGAATTAGAATTGGAACTGCCTTTTCGCTTCAGATTGCGATCCATCGACGTTCCGCTGAGTTATTCATGCTGCCCGTGTGCCGGTGCTGCCAACCGTGCCGACGTGGCAGGATGAGTTTGACAACTTCTCCGAGAAGATGACCAGCACTGGGCCCGTGGAGCCCAGGGGCAGGATTTGGGCGGCGAGGGCAAGGGTGGGATTTTACAAGGGATGTGCAAAATGCTTGAGTGCCGAGGTATGTGCGTGGAATTACGTGGCCTAAAGCTGCAACCTCAGGAAATCAGACAGCACCTGTGACAGATTTGAGCAGCCTCTCCTGCAGGCTGGTACTGATTGGGGGAAGTACAGTGATGAGAATTGGGAGAAGCTCAGCCACTGGCCTTGGATTGTGAGGAGGGAGGAGAACAAATACGTACAGCAAGTCGCCGAAAGGCCTACCAGGCCTACCAATTTCGTCATTGTGTCCTGTCCTGTGCATTTTAGTGTGTTTCCTTTGCACCTTCTGACGCCAAGGTTATTGGGCGTCCATGCGGATGCAAACTCTCTTCCGCACCGTGTCTGGAATGATGTTCGGGAGCCCGAGGCGTGTTCTTTTGAAAATACTTTCAAGCACTCTGGTTTCGTTCCCTGTCCGTGTTGGCTTCGTTCTCTCGCTCAGGTTGTACCACAATGCCCTGCAATGCCACTTCGAAGCTCAAGGGGATCGTCGCAACAAGCTCCCGGGCGGCAAAGAAATGTCACCCTGACGTGCACGCGGCGACCGAGCGACCGATGTGCCCAGGCTGGGATTGATTTGGGATCCCAGCGATGCCTTCACCTGCGTGGCACGGGAGCTCGGTTGGGTCGCAAGACAGACCGTTTGGTGCGGTGAATCGGTCTCCGAGGTGGCCATGCAAATGTACGCCTTCTTTAACAGCATGCAGCTCAAGCACACCAACATCATGTTCAAAAAGTTCCCCAAGTCCATGAAGGTGCGACGAAAGACGAGTCGACCGCGCGCGGTCGAAGCACGAGGTCCGATTCGACCGATTCGTCCGTGGCGAGACGCCTTCAGGTGGCCTTCATCGATTGCGAAGATTTGGAGGACGCCTGGGCCAGACGTGACCAGATGTTGACAAATGGTGTCCTTCAAAGGGATTCCAAACGATGCAGAATTTGGGAAGTGTAGCCTTTGAGCCGTGTGTTATAACTCTTGGACTCTTGGCCATGCTTTTTGTTCGCCATGTTCATCTCGTCTCCTTCCAATCCAGCCTCAAGCCATCACTCCGGAGTCGGTGGCCAGGGCTCCGAGCGGCCGGATTGCATCCACGAAGATCAGAAGCGTCGATACTACAGCTGCGGCTCGGCAGGGTGTTCTTCTTCCGCAGGGGGCGGAAAGGAGCAGCTTGGCATCCAAAATGCCCACATTCGAGAAAAGAGATTCAATATTCTACCGCCACGATCGGCAATACGGTCATATTATACAGCAGTAGGTTCTATTCTATCCCATACAGGATCTTCTTCGTCCAACAACCCACGATAGGTCCGACCTCATTAATACCGCCACCTCTTCCCCCTCCCATCACCCTTTATGTCACTATGCCAGCCAACCAACGCCACTTTAGTTCGCCCCACCTACCACCAACCAGGGGTGGCTGGAGCCCGAATTGGTCGAACAACTGGAACTCTTCCCAGAGAGCTTGGCCCGTTGGTACCTGAAGTCTGTTCCGTTTTGGGGTCCACCGAATTCCGCACCGAGGCCTCATCGATGCCACTTGCCCGGTGGATGGTCAAGGGCGTCGGACACCGAAGTACAAGATCGAGATTCCTGGGTGCCAACTGGTCGAAAAGACGGATGGTGTTCTTTTGGAACGCACCGGTGTGACGATGTGTGACGATGACGCATCGTGACGCCGTGGACTCGGGCAGGTACCCCATCTTGGGCGATGGAAAGGGTGACAATCAAAACACGGCCGTGCACTTTACCCGGGGGACCTTTGTGCAGTGCATCGACGCGAACCAGGCGCAGCCGTCACTGCGGTCCCGCTGGAGATAAGAGGTTAACAACGCCTGTTGTCGGCGTCGGCAGTGCAGCACGATGATCGTTGAAAGGACAGTGAAGCAGTCGTGTTGCACCTCGCATCACCGCCCTTTGAAAGACATCCGGAGCCTGCTCAGAACGTTCAATTCGGGTCAATCCTTTGAGAACATGTTTTGACCGTTGCAGGGTGCATACTTTGAGCAGATGCTGCTGCTGCCTTGCGTTTTGGGTGAGTTCAGATCGAAGCATCCTGGTGATGGAGGCGCTCGCAGTTTCGTGGCAGGTAGAACCAGCATGAATCAACAGTGCCATGCCGCACCATGCCTGCCACGAAATGCATTGACATGTTCGAAGCTTCGATGCCCTAATTAGGGTACTGCAACTATAGTTATGAGGTGTTAATACGAGAGCATAGTCTATTTTTCTGTCGAACGCGTTGCTCTGGTGAAGGAAGCAAGAAGATCATCGGTTTTCCGGAGCACATCACCAGTCGAAGTCTCAGCTGTTCGAAGAAAGGATGCAAACAGTTCGTTGAGTCGAACTCAACTCCGTGTGAACTCAAGAACGGCGTCCTCTTCCCTCTTCCCGGCCTTTCCGAACTCACCCCGGTTCCACGCGTCGTGACGAACCGGGTCGTGGTCGTCGCGAAAAAGGTGACTTCGGCTCGGTGGGCGACTTCGCGGCCTCGTCGGAGCTGGCCTTTGGCGCGGAGGGGGGAGGATGGGAGGAATCGGAAGGAGAATGGAGAGAATGGCCTCCACAAGAGAGTTTTCACAGAGTGTCCTACAATGTTTGGCCGTGTGAGTTTCTGTTTTTCTTGCGGCGCATCTTTCACGGGTGGAAAGAATCCATCGGAAGTGGGCGATGGGAAGTACGTTGGCTGGGACCGGTCGAATTCGCGCCTCTCATCCGAGTCAGGACCATGCCATCTTTGCCCCTTGATTCGTTTTTTTGTGGTTTCCTCTGGCGGAAGTGGACCATGACTTTCCGGAGCTTCGGGTGGACTCGGAGCTTCGGATCACTTCAGTAGCTCGGAGCTTCGGGACACCGAAGGCCGACTCGATCCCGCAACACCGGGATAGAACCTCGGATGTGTGTCCACACTATTTTGGGGAGAAAAGCGGAATGCCCGTCAAAGGGCCCAAGAGTGGCCCGCGGTTTCCGGTGTGTCTTGCAAGTGGGGCCGCGTGAGTCGCACGGACAAGCGGAGTCCTTGAAGAATCAGACCAGTCCCCATTGCTATTGGGTTGGCCATTCCTATTTGAGGAGGCTATCGCTACTAGGGTGGAGGCCATCGATATATGATTGATTCCTTAAAGTTTTTTTCTATAAGGGCATCATTTTGTTTGGCTCATTGCAGTTATTGCTGCGCATGCTGTCATCCTTCAAGTTTAAAGCAGAACCATGCTGCAGAACATGCAGTTAAACTCTGGAAACATCATGAAACATCCATGGCCAGGACCTTCGCAGTGACCTTTTGAGATCCCAGAATGAGGTCACTTAGGCCTTGATTTCAGGTCACTTACCAATCCTGAAGAGGTCACTGGGAAGGTCCTGGGCATTTTCTGCTTCTTTTTTTTTGCTTCTTCATTCGACGAAGGGATTGTGGCATCAAGTGGCATCTTCATGCATTTTCGCTCCGCAGGCACCATCTCCCAGCGGTCCTATTCCTTGCTCGGGGTGCCGCCCACGTAACCGCGTGCGTAAACCGCGATGGGTCACGCGACGTCAGGGATCAAGATCCTGGAATCTACCACTACTCTACTTTATTTTACCAAAGATCGTGGAATTTGTGTAGTGTACCAACTTTATCGTACACTGATTTGGCCCGGCAGTTTCGGGCCTTTTGCTTTCAAGAGCTTTTTTGGGGTGAAGTCAAGGCCATCGCGGGTTGGAGGCCATTGCTAAGGTTGGAGGGCAAGAAGATCCTTCCACGCGTTCGACCCTCACGGCCGACTCGGGCTCTCAGCACTGCCCGTGCGCACGCGTCTTCCGCCATGCAGCGGGGCACTGTGCAGAGCTTGGAGGACGGTCGTCCTTCAGTGTGAAACGGTCTTTGCATGGCGTCCGAATGGTCGCGGCGTCCTTGTTCCAGGGGCTTCCAGGGTTCAGCGTGCCCTTTGTGGAAATGAGGACTCGCGCAGCCCCAGCTACATTCCTCATGATCTACATGATTTGTGACTTGGAATGGCATAGTGGCACAACGTCATGTTTGGCCAGGCTATGTTCCGGATGGGTTTGCTCAAAATGGTTGCTTGGAAACGAGAGACATCATGTGACGCCATACTCCATCATCCAAGCCTTGGCTTTGGCACACTCATGTGAGGATGTTTGAGCATGCGTCTCTGCAATCGGTTGGTTTGGTGGACAAGAATGGGTGTCGTAATGTCATGCAAGTGTCCAATTGCTGCCTGATGTCTTTGCTCGTGCTCAGGAGCTTCGAGCGGGAAGAACGTCAAGGCCCATCGCAAGTCCGCCTACATCGTAGACGAACTGTTTATGCCAGCATTGTCCGTTTGAAGAAGTTGTTGGCAACAAAGACCGAGAGCGATGCTGGAGTTGATGTTATACTTCAATGATGTTTCTTTCAATTAAGGGCACTTGCTTGCTGTGCGGAATGTCAATTGCATTCCTCAGCTGCCCAGGCCGTTTGTCAGAAGGGACATGCGCCGGGGTGCTGAGCAGAACTGAGCCGTCAACTCTAGCGAGCTGGTTGCTGGATCGCGAAGAGGCCAAAGGAAGCTTACTAGTAGCGATGGCCTCCAACCTAATAGCTTCTTGCTACTATAGTCTACCAGTAGCGTCCTTGCTACTAGTAGCGATGCACTTGTTCCATGTTCGTAGCAAGGAAAAACAGAGTTTGTGGGCGTTTTGGGTCGGCCCCATGAGTCCGGCGTCGACCTGAAGAGCAGATTTGACACATGGGGTTTCCCTGCCCGCCAGTTTTGGTGGGGGTGGGAATTTCCTTCGCTCTTGGCGCCGGCTTGTTCTTCCGCCATGGTGGGTCCCCCTCGCTCCTGCGACACGGTGAGCGTGCTCAACCAGCTGGCACAGAGGAGGCGGCCAGATGAGGCTCGGCCCGTCCTTCAGGACCATTCGAGCGCTCGAAGAATGCGTTGGTTGATGTGTTTGTTGGTGGATGATGTCCAGTGTTTTCCTGAGCTGAGATGGCTTGGTGCAGAAACAAGTGTCGGAAGAATGTCGGGGGCCGTCTTGAAAGACGGAGTGCGTGCGTGGAATGCTACCAGGGGGAGGCCATTGCTATTAGGTTGGAGGTCATCACAAGTAGGTTGGAGGCCATTGCTAGTGTGGAACACTTGCTAAGCCTTCACCTCTTCAGGTGGCAAGTGCCATCCGGGCCTTAGAAGCCAAAGGATTGCAACCAGCAATTTACCACTTGAATGCCGTGCTGAACGCTTGCAAGAGGAGATGGAGCCACAGATGCACATAGACATACTGACTGATAGTGACGATATAATATAAGTATAACTGTTTCTTAGCGTCAAACATGTCAAACACCATGAAGACCCCACTTCCACTGCAAGTCATTCAAGTCTTCTCGGTTCTTTTTTGCTTTTTGCTTTTCAGACCACCTTCCGGCGACAATCTGCGAGGCAACAAGCGGTGAAGCACATGGAGGCGATCCGCCAGCAGGCAGTGGACTTGAACAAGTTTAGCTACACTGCAGCACTCAGCGCTTGCGAGAAGGGATCCTCGGCGACGGTTAGATGAGTCGTTCATTGGTCAGTCTTTGAGAGAAAACCATGGAGATCTGAGACGCCAGAAGAACAAGATCTCTTCTAGCTGCTAGCTGCGGGGTCACCAATGGACATCTCCACACTACTTACAGGTCTCCATTGGGCACCCCTTGGAAGCGCTAGGTTGGTTCACGTTCCTTTCCCCAAAAGATCCAACTGGCTCGAGGATACCAATGGAGAATGGCGGAAGAGTTGTTGCTGGAGATGCCTCGACGCAAGGCCATCGCCGGTGTGACACTCGTTTTTGGGGGGACAAGGTGGAGAAGAGGTGTTAAATGGGGTGGTCGGCTTTTGGAATCCAACAGTTTCACCTGAAACAAGATCCTGTTTCAGGACTAAAGTCGACTTCGTTTCCCGAGACCGACGGTCGTCGGCGCCGCCCCCGGTGACCAGGTGAGTTGCGACATGATTTGCTGCAATGCACTCATGAGCGCATGTGCTAGCTCGGGGGAATGGAAAGAAGCCTTGCATTGGCTTTGCACGATGCTGCATCGTGACCCCATCAGCTACACGGACAGCATTGCCTCGAGAGGCTTTGGTGAATGACCGCACCGGATCAAACTTTGCAGATCTGACTTCCAACCTGGTAGGGGGAGATTTGGCTTCGAAGTAAAGCACCAATATAGCGGTGAAAATGGGGAGATTTGGCTGATAGTTTGAGAGATTCCCGGGTGATTTTTGAGGTTACAATGCAGCCATCAGTGCTTGCCAACTGGAGGGCGAATGGCCAGTGGCTGTGGCTCTGTTGGCAGAGATGTCAGACATGCGTTTGCCACCGGTCTCCGCAAGTCACATGGCCGAAGCTTCGTTCGAACGAAAACGGGACCGACCGACTGAGGCCCTGAAAACGGTCCGACTGACGTCAGAACCACTGATGTTGGAGTTCAGTTTGGTCAATCAAATGGTATTGCCATGGTTCGTGATGTCGTCGTCCGTTTTTGCTCTGAAAGTGACCAAGACTGGAATGCTGCGATTCGAAGCTGTGCTACAGCACTACGCTGGGATGTTGCACTCGTGCTCTTAGAAGGTCTGGTGGCATCGGGCTTGCAAGCTGCAACTTGGAATGGAACCGTCGTTTGCTCAGCAAAATGAGTTTTGGGACCCGAACATTCAACAAGTACAGAAGATTACGGAAGACATCCTTAGCCGGACCTTTTTTTCATGAGGTATCCAACATGTTTCAACCATCAAAGCCCTTTGGCCCCCCAATCGGGCGCTGGCGTTTTGCACCTCCCAGTGACCGGCGTCGCACCCAGGATGTGATGTCCTTCACCTCGCTGCTGGGAGGTTGTGGCACCCCAAGCACCTGGTCAATGGCCCAGTCTGTGCTCGCCCACATGCAGAGTGAGGCCCTTCGCAGTTCTGAAAAACCAGCCGTTCGTGCCGGTGTTTGGAGCCACGCGCGACCCACCCGACGGGAAACGGGGAGAAAGCAGGGCGGAGCAGGGCGGTTCTTTGGGGTCGCAAGCCTGTGCCCTTCGGCGGCTGGAGGCCATCGAGGGAGACATCGTCTCGGCCAACGCGGCGGGCAATGTGAGTGCACAAGGAGGTCGTTGGGAGAATGCTTGGAGCCTTTTTGAGGAGAGACGTGAAAACGATCCATGTTGACGTGGCATGAAGCTGGAGAAAAAGAAGAAGCAGCTACGAGAAGTAGCATGAAGCGTTCGACTCAAGCAGATGACTCATGTTAGGACTCCTGCCGCCAGTCAATCCAAGCTGATCAAGGTTTAGCTACTTGGCAAGTCACAGTGCTTCGCATGCTTTGCATGCTTCGCATGACCGATGAGGAAAGGGAAGATTGAATATCGGCAATTAGAATTAAACTAAATGGTTTCTAATAGCTTCTTGTTACTACTAGGCACTTGCTACTAGTAGCGATGCACTTGTTACTAGTAGCTTCTTGTTACTACTAGTAAGGCACTTGTTACGAACGAAGCGATGAATATGCAGACTTGGTCCGTCACATCGGGTACCTCGGTGACCTCGTCCGACCTCGTCCGGCCCGGCTCACGTCGCGCCGCGCCGTCGGTTCCGAGGACGTAGTGCACGCACCAAACCGAGGACGTAGTGAGAATGCTCCGTTCGTAGCGATGCCAGGAGCTCCATTCGTAGCGTCCGATCGCTCCTAGCAGTAAGGCCAGGAGCCCCTGCAAAACCGAGGTCAGTGCCATTCTCAGCGGGACGAGGGCGGATGAAGATCCCCAGAGTTGGATCTTCGCCGTGGATTTGCTGGGCGGCATGGAGGACCGCGTGAAGACGTGCGGCGGGAACCCGAATGCGCCACAGTTGCGCAGCGTTCCCGCGAATGAGAGCGGATGACAGGGGATCACGGTGACCACTTGCATTGGATTTTCATATGGAAGGACGCCACAGGCAGTAGTATTCTTGTGAGTAGTATTGTGTTTGAAATGAAGGGGTATGATGTTGCACATTGCTTGAGGTCATCAAATCTGTGAGCTTGAAGGGGTTGCGGAGTCGTGTCCTGTTGCTGTACACCATATACGATCCCTTCTGCCAACGAACGCGCCAGCCTTTCCACATGTCACGCACAGAGAGCTCTTGGAGGAGAGAGGGTTGGTGCCTGGAGTGGTCAGCCGATCGAACGTCTTGGCTGCTTGCGGTTGCACCGCGTGGACTGCGGCACTGCAGATCTTGGATGGTGACCTAGACCTGGACCGGGGGGGAAACCCGAAGAAACGGGAAGAAACATGATGAAGCTGAGAGGTCAGGGAGGAACTTCTTGGAGAAACCAGTGCGTTCTCTCATGTTGTGTAAGAACGATCGGCACCAAGATCTAAAATGGGTGGGCCTTGGGCCGTGCTGGCCTTGCTGTTTTCTGCTTTTGGTGTTCGTCTAAGAAACCGTTGGGAATGGCATGGCCCCTTGGATGATCATTGTGCCTCTTATATTTTTGACGATTTCCGGGACTGTAGATGAAATCATATCAACTTTGTTTGCTGAAGGACTTAATTTGCCACACCATGACCATCAACGCGACTTGGTCGAAGTTGGACACGCTGACTCGACCTCGCCGCCGGTAGCTGACTGGTTCAGTTCTTTGTTCAATCTGACCATGCGGCTTGACTTCGACATACTTAGACCGTTTCTCAACTTACTGCATCCATTGAGCAGTCTGTGAGAAGCCCTCCAAGTGACAAGACATCAAGCTAACCGAGAGGCACCAAACAGATGCACGGAAGAAATGCGTCCGACTGATTTCTTCCGGGAAGGGCGGCAGCGGAACGCCAGAGCACTGGGCTGAGCGACGCGACGCGCGACGCCGTGAGGCTTGGCAAAGTGTGCGGCGATGGCAGGAAGCCTTGGTGCTCTTCGATGCGTTGCCCTGTCGGCGCTTTCCGCCGGATGGCTTTGCACACGTGGCTGGCCTGGCCTCCAAGCGACGAGGCCGACGTTCCTTTTGCCACGTGTCATCTGAAGCAACTAGTAACAAGATAACAAGAAGCTACTAGGAGCCAAGGGCATCGCTACCTAGGAGCAAGGACGCTACTATAGGATCTCCTGGCCGTACTAGTCATGTCATCTGGTGAAAGAGTTTCGACCCACCAAAAGCACCAACAGCATCCAACAGCTGTCACAGCATTGACCGGTGCCGTGGCCCCAGGCAGTTGGTCCTCTGCAGGGCGACTTTTGCATTCCTTGCAAGACCGATGGGTGGAAGCCACGGTGCATAGTCATGGTGCAGCAATGAGCATCATGGTTCAAGAGAGAAAGTATGAACCCCCCGTGTAAGACGGTCATGTTCACATGTCCTTTTTTGCCAGAAGCATGCTCAATCCACTGTAAAAGGAGAAGCTAGGAAGAAAAACAAGATCCCGAGTAAGTCTTGCTTGTTTGGAAAGGATGAGTGATGTTTGCACATGTTTGCAGTACGGACCGGTGGGAAAGGTGCTTGCACCCACTAAACCATCTAAAACCGTAAGAACATACCACAGCCTAAAACACCGCATGCCGTAGACAGGCCCGCCCATGTGATCTCCAGTATATAGAGGGGAGGGAATGATCTTTGGTGGGTTGCTATTGCATAGGCTTCTAGCGAAGTCTGTCGTAGGAAGTAAGTAGTCTTCCGTTCGGGACGCGATCACTGAAGGAACGAATTGTGCTTTTGCCAGGTTCCACACACCACATGCGTGCAGCGCACTGAATACTACACGATAAGGAAGAACAAACGATAATCAAAGGTTGTATAATATAGGTTGTTTTTTTCACAACCTCTAATTAGACATCTGAAGACCAAGCAACTTTGGGTGTGTATTTTTTTTTGGTGTCTTTTTGGGGAACATGTGTTTTTCTATAGAAGCGCGCGTCATCAGTGACGGTGGAACCGTTCGGCCTTCTCAAGACGATGGGCCCTGTCTGAACTCCGGAGATCTCTTCGGTCCTGAGGCCTCTTGGCACGCGATGGTCACTGGCAAAAGTCCTTAGACTTCCTCAGCTGTGGCCACGCCCGACGCATGGCCCTCACGGTGAGCGCCGCGAAGAGTTCCGCGGTGAACGCCTGCAAGGAGGCGGGCGACGCTAGACAGAAGTGACAGCAGACAGCAGTGAAACAAAAGACGATCAAAGACGTCGAACACAAACACTTACGTTCGGGGCTCCTGGCATCGCTACTAGGAACAAGAAGCTACGTTCGGGGCTTCTGGCCTTACTACTAGGAGCAGGGACGCTAC